ATCATGCTCCATGTACTCAAACACAAGATGCAAGCTACCAGATAGCTTTGAAGTGACAAGACACTGAAGCTTCATAACATTTGGATGGTCGAGTTTTCGCAAAATGTTGATTTCTCTAGCCATGAACCTCACACTTTCTGGATCCATATTAGCAAACCTCACCTTCTTCATCGCCACTATTTTACCCGTCTCAAGATCCCGTGCCTTATACACAATGCTATAAGTCCCTTGTCCAATCTGCAAACACAATGTTCATATCATATTAATATCACCGTACCATATGAGTCATTGATTTTAAAACAATATTTCTCGTTATTATAAGGAACTTTCTTAACAAAGGAATCAGCACGTCGCGGAACCCAACCTTTAATAGCTTCACCTGCAACAGAGGTTAACCAATAAGGCCAACCAGCTGCAATAAGCTCTGCTTCTGCGCTACGCGGAACATTCGAAATAATCAATCCTCCTCCTTTGCCATTATCTGAAACTCTCCTTCCTCGTTGAGACCTTGAAGGTCTCTCTACAATCACAGTCTTACCATCATGACTATCATCAATAGGAACAATTAAACCACTCGCTCTTCTACCACCACCAGAGCTTCCATCTACGGCTTTATGCGAAAAATCGTCTTTATTTGAAGGCAGAGGAGCAATCAATTGAACAGAAGAAGATTTGTTCCAATACTCATTTGCTTTCTCACGATGATAAACAACACCTTCTTCATCTTCTGCTGCTCCTTTTGAGCAAATGCAGCCCATAATAACCTGCCTTGTTCCACAATCTACTAACTTTATAACAATGATTCAACACATGTTCTTACGTAAAAACCAAATCTTTATATATCCTGATTGATCCCTAAGCATCAAAACCCAGGAATCTTCAGGTCTATTACCCAGAGAGATTCAATAGAAAGCTAAGTTTTTGACGCAAGAAACCAAAAGGGTTTCTTCTAAACCCTAAAAGATTGTGACTTTCTTGAAGAAAGAACAACAAACAAACACAAAAACGTAGAAGAGTTTTACGATTCAAGAGGCCAAAAAAGTTGGGATTTTGTTTCTCTCTCTGCAAGATAGAGAATGGTTCGACGAAAACGGAAAATGCGGGGGAAAATAAGGAAAAGAAAGATTGTGAATATGAGAAATGGAAAGAAGAATGAGGAGAGATATGGTTTGTGTAAGAGTAAAATCTGGAGAGCCCTTGATTCTTGGGACAACACAGCTCACAAAGAATCGTTCTCTCTTTCTCTTTCTTTAGAAATAGTCCAAAAACCGTTTTGCATGAGAAATTTTTATCTTCTTAACAATTTTATGTGTTCTTGAACTTGTAGAATCTTTATATGCTTGGTATATTATATACTTGATTATAAGATTTCAAAATATTTTATACGAAATAGAAATGGAAATATTTTTTGTAGATAGTTTACCAATTTCAAGATCATTTCTAAACCGGAATTCAGATTACTCAAAAAGTTTATAGAAAACCCAAATTTGTTTCCATTTAAAAAAATTTAAATCCCTTCCATTAAATTACATCTGATTGGTCTACCAAATTATATCTTATCATTAAAATGCTGGGATATTCCATTAGATAGAATTTTTTTAATGAAATGTAATAAAATTATATAGATAAGAAAAAACTAATATGAGATGCTAGAATTTGATTGGACGATAATTCATAAAAGTTTTTAATTAATAGTATATGTTATATGATAACAAATAAAAAACTATATCAAATATAGTATATAACTCTTGCTTTTGTCTTCCAAAAATCTTTTATTCACACATAATTATGATTGAACTTCAAGATAATATCAAATATTCTATTCAACAAATTCCCCTCTTGATTAAAAATAGAAATAGAAAAATCATTAAAAACATTTAAAATAAATCGGAAGAATTTATAGATAAGAGATAAGAAGATTGATAAAATGTACATAACACATTTTTCAATCCAAACCGTTATAAAGTTATAAATAAATTATTATAGTTAGTTGAAAATAACATTGACTTAGACGATATGAGTCAACATTTAAATTTGGATGACTTAGACGCCACTGTGCGATTGACATTGCAAGTGGTTGGTTTAATACGACGTTGTTTTGGTTGTGGCGCATACGAAAAACTTCATGCAAAAAATCGATTTTCTAACGGAAAAAATCTAAACAACATTTTGAGTTTGTGTACAACATAACCAAAGCGACGTTGTTTTAAGACAATATTAATCACTTGCCATGTCAACCGCACAATAGTATCTTAGTCATCAAAATATAACGGTTGACTCACACGTCTAGTTCAAAGTTGGTTTCAGCTACATTTCATAGTTAAGGTATGGAATCTATTATCCACTAAATCAAACTATTACAACTTGTTGTCAGATTTACATAAAATTCATTTGGTTCGACACATAATGTTCACCTCCTGGCCAAGTAAACTCTGGAGATATTAACAATGAGTGGTTCAAAGCCAACATATGCTACTATCTTATACACAACGATTTTTCGTTCACTTTCGAAATTTTGTCAATTGTGTCTGTTGAGTCAATCTAGTTTATCGGACTAGTACAGTCGTCATATGTTTAGAATCATTTCTATTCATGTAGAGGATTGTTGGAACTCAATTTTTTATAAAATGGCTTCGGTCAAATGTTTGACAATTTTTTCGGTGAATTCCATCACCATAATGACAATATCTAGAGTCATTGGATTTCTTATAATAAACACTATAAGATAGTGTATTTACATGTCAAAATCAAAGTTAATGTGAATAAGAAAATGAGTATTTAAATTGGATAGCTTGGTACGTATAAATCATGTAATTTTGATTAAGTATTTATAAAAATGAGTATTTTATCCCGTACTGAAAGAGTGACAAATTTTCCACTAGTATATATAGTTAAGAACTCACTACAAGGTTTAGTAGCTTTGGGAAGAAGACATTATGGTATAGCCGTGTAGGAGTGAGAGCGTTGCCACCGTTATGCCGAGTTAGGCCAGACCGGGGTTGGGTTTGGGTCTTATGAGTCTTTAGACGTACAAAGATTATTCTTTTTGTGAGAAATTCTTATAAACAATTTTGTTAATTTTCTTTAAGATTTTTTTGCATAATATCGGATAAATATAGAAGGTTCTAGATTGCATCAAATATTTGTGGAATATTTTCATGCATTCTTATCTTTCCGTACAATCTTATCCCTCTTTTGAATTGTGGATCAAAATATTCCTCCCTATAAATAAAATCTTGCCTTATTCTCTCATACGAACCGGTTTTACGAAACAGAAAACAAACATAACGTAGATACTAGTTCATGGATTCTATAATTGAGTGTCATGATTATAGTCTCAACATGGTTGTATATTGAGATTCAAAATCTCATAAAAATCGTCATAATGCAAAAGATTTATTGAATTAAAAAAAAAAAATCAACTTTCACCTCTAAATATTCGTCTTTTTCTTAATCGGATTTTATTCGTAACTAGATTTGAACCCGCGGTACACCGCGGGGCTATAATATTTTTTAAAAAAATCTAAATATAATTAGTTTTGTTTATTAATAGAGAGTATAATATAATATTTCGACCTATTTTATAAATGTACCATCCATATATCTATATTAATAGTTTTGAGTATGTTAATTGTGTTTTAGGTTTAAATGGTATATCTATATATAGTTATATACACTTAAACGACATTTGGCTTTCTTCTTCTTCTTGCCTCAGTTTAAGAGAAAGATTTTTCTTGCGGTACACCGCGGAGCTATTATTTTTAAAAAAAGATTTTTCTTCCTTAAACTTCCAAATCTAGATTTTACCCCGCGGTACACCGTGGGTCGATTTTTTTATAACTAAAAAATTATTTTGCAAACTTTTAAGTTGTATTTGTTTTGTTAATATTGTTTATTTTGTTTAGTGTTTCTGATTTTATAATTAAATTTTGATTTTTAATTCTAGGATTTCATCCATAGTATATTGTTTAATATCGTTTAATATTAATATTGATTAATATTAATATTGATCCAAACCCGTTGCACCATATAACCCCGTCCCGTAAAATTAAACATCATTTGTTATTTTTTTGAATAATATTTTTATCCACTACTGGTCGCAGGTTCATGCGGATAAACCCGTAGAGAGTTGCGGATTTGCGGGTCGACCCGCCAAAAGAGAAGCTATCTTTTGAAACTCTTTGTTTTGTTTAGAGGTTTTAAGAAAATATCCTTAAAATAATTTTCATTATATGAAAAAAAAGAAGTAGAAGAAATTATAGTATCAACATTCCCAATTTTTACATCACTCGTTACAATTAAATTTTTTTTTTGCAGATAAAAATCAGAAGTTAACTAAGTCGAGATTTTTAAAAAGATTGTGTAGAAATTTTTGGTAAATTGTTGAGAACATATTTGATTTCAAAATCTTTACTTAAATAGATAAGGAAAGATTTTGTAGAGACTTTTGCTAAATATATGAGAAATGAATTTCAATTACAAATCTTTACTTAAATAAAACAAATCTAAATAATTAATGCTAATGGCATGTCATTGTAAATACTTCTCAACTTCAGGATTTATTTGCTAATTGTGATCTAAAAATGTATATATATATAGATTTTCAATTCAGAACTTTGTAGTAGTCCTGTATATTAAAAAAATGAGATTCTCAAGACTTAATTCAATGATAATACATGTACTAAAACTTTCCAATAAAGGGAAAGGAAAGGTATAAATTCACTACAAAACAAACATGACGTTACACTTAAAACTTTTCAACCTATCGTTGTTTTTGATGGTCAAAAAACCTTTTTTGACAGAGAAAAACTATGACTATTTTGAACATCCGAAAGTTGTAAGGCATTTTTTAAAATGATGTTTGACCACGATCTCTAATGAACTACCGACTACGAGAACTTGTACAGTAGTTTTTCAAACTATATATGTTGATTACTCAAGCTACATATAGTGGATTATAGAATCACACTTATATCACCATATCAATCACATTTAGATACTAAGAATTAATCATCAACGTATCAATTAATATCACCGTACCATATGAGTCATTGATTTTAAAACAATATTTCTCGTTATTATAAGGAACTTTCTTAAAATATTTAGTCGGTTGATAAAAATATATCAAAACTTTGAAGATAATATCAAGGATAAGAAAAGTGTTTGCTGAAGCTGAAATGTCAATGCATAGTAGGTCCACAGGAGATTCGGGCGGCATATTGGAATCGTCTCTTGTGCCCCGGCCCCCACACGGAGTGTACTATATGATACATGCAATTACGATTATTCTAACTTTTTTCAAACAACGAGTTTTTCTAGTCATCACTTACTGGATCCTCGAAATTTGATTTTAAAACATGTGAAAAGATTACAAATTGAACCCAAGAAAAAGATTAAGGGTCGAAAATTTATTATACTTTACTGAATAAATAATTAATCTGTAAAAGTAAAACCGAAACCTTAAATGGTTGGTGATATGACATTAAAAAAAATCAAATGGTTAAGCAATAAAAAATCAACTATTACAACCCCATATGGATTACAGTTGCTGCATTTCCAAACACTCATCGTACTGACCAAAATACCTTCCGTACAACTCTTCGTAATCAGTCACTTCCAAATCTTGCATCCACCCTAACCTCGGCGAGTCTAATGGAAACTCATTAATGGCCTGAATCTGATCCGGAGACAATCCGACCCTAGAAAGTCCTTGACCCGACTCGAGAGCTGGTTCAGTAGAGCCACCTGGTTTAAACTTAAGTGCTGCCTCCTGAGCAGCCGCTTGGACGTGCTCGGAACTAGAGCTCTCCGGCCGAGGGAAACTGTCAGCAAGCTCCGGAAAGTTGAGATTGGTCCCATGTCCTCGGAGGTAAAGAGCCGCAGCATCATAGGCCGCTGCGGCCATCGCGGCCGTCTCGTAGCTCCCCAGCCATATCCGGGTTTTCTTACCGGGTTCACGGATCTCTGACACCCATTTACCCCATTTCCTCCGACGAACGCCTTTATAAGACAATTGGTCAACAGAGAAGCGTTGTTCTCGTTGACCAACATAATTGTTTTCCATATAATAATTAATACAAGATTGTTTAGTAGTACTATAATGTGTGTATATTGAAATGTGCTATTATTAGTTTCGAGAAGTTTGAGTTATAGAGTCAGTGGTTAAGTGAAATTGTATATATAGAGAAATAAAGAAAGACAATAAATGATGGAATAGAATTTGTGGGAGGCTTGTTTGGTTTCAGGTGAAGTGAGCTTCCCACGTAGTTACGTGTGGAGTGTAAAAATGCTGTCATGCATGCATGGGTCTCGACTACTACATGGATATTTTATTAGCAAAGCTGTCTTTAAGCGTGTACAAATAGTGTGTATTTGAAGAAAACGCTGATTTAGAATTTCTTTATATTTGGTGGAATAAAATTTTGAATATTTATACGGTTTGGGCTTCTATTTTTTTAATAATATTTTTAACACATACAAATATGTGTGCAGTAAAAACCTTTTACAAATATTTTAACTTGTTAAAAATAAAAAATATTCCAAATATTAATACTGAAAAAGTAATAAGATTATAGATATTTTAACTTGATCAAAAAGTTAAAAATATTTTAACCTTTCAACTAAAAAATAGATTTCATAGTTCATACCGAGAGAAATATAAATAAATTAATGTTTCATAAGGATCAATTATTTTAAGTCAATGTAGTATATTGTGTTTTGTTGTGGGAAAAGTCATTAGTCCTTTATATCATGTGTTGGTTAGAACTTTAAGCTCTCGTACCAAAGTCCATATATGCCATATCACAAGAGTATTGACAGCAAATATGATAGCAACATTATGTAACTGCCCATAGACTATCATGTTGACCAAAAAATGAATTGTTCGTTACGAAGATGCGGAGAAAGAAACCCATATAAATTAACCAAAATATGATTTTATGAAATAGTAAAGCCCGACCAGCCGAAGATGCTCTGTCTCCAAATAATTTATTGATTTATAGTAAAACCTCGTGCGTCAAATTCCCACCCTAAATAATTAAATGGTTGCGTGACGTGGCTACATAATGGTCACCACCGCCACTAACAACCACACCGTACCGAAATCCGTACGGACCATCCGGTGGTCAAAAAAGACTACAGTCTTAATCTCACCGCCCATTATGTATATTGGTGCTTATCTGCAATCTCGACGGACCCTACATGTGAACTCCACAAGTATAGCAAAATTTTGCTTTCCGTTCTATTTTTTGAGCTTATATATATATATATGTTCCTTGGTTATGACAAAAATATATATATATATATATATGTTCCTCGGTTTTTTTTATTGTCCTTATATGTTCCTTGGTTCAAGAACTCATGTGTGTAATTGAATACTATTTACAAAAAAAAGAAGAGAATTTAAGAATTAATTACTTAATTACTATAATTTATATAAACATAACTATGATATTGTCTCCTTCTCATAGAGATACATGTCGACGCCATCTATTTGATTTACTGACACATGTTTCATTCTCGTTAATTATAATTTTGACATATGTCGGATTTTCATAAAAAGTTCAAATTTTAAATAATAAAATAGTATTGTTATAAATCTAGAAATTTTATGATTTTAATGGAAATAATGAGATACGTGGACTGGATGGTGAACCATTATGGGTAAGGGCGAGTCATTTAAAATAAAATAATATGGCATAGTATAACATTGAATAGTACAAAATCATTGGAAAACCAGATATTAAAATATTATGGAAAAATTAACGTGAATAGAGGAAATAATCATCTAACATTCTTTGAAAAAAAAATAATAATAATTGTCTAACATTTAATAATAATAAAATAACACACATTAACCTTTAATAGTAACAAAGTAATTGAAAACCAGAAATTAAAATTTTATATAAAGAGAATATTTGGAGGTAGCAAACAAGTGTAGTGCATGAGTTGTTTTTGGGCAAGGCCAAGTCTTCAAAGCGGAAGAGGATAGAAAAACAAAGCGGTGATAAGGTCTTTGAGCTTTTCATGGGGTTTGGTAAATCCATCACCCTCCTCGTAATTATAAACATTGATCATTCGTAAAATGTTGAGGACCCGTACCAGAATCGGACGTGGCACACCTTTTATCGTCAAGAACTCCTCCATCACTATCTTATAATTATCTCTAATCATCTTCTTCATTTGGCTAACTGCAACTTCTTTGGTAACTCTTTGTTTCTTAATGTAACATTTCACCCCATTAGCCACCTCTCCTCTCCTCATATCTTCCCAAAGCCAGCCATCACATTTTCAGGACGAAATATAACACGCAAAGCTAATAAAATTTTGGGTTCAGATTTGAACCACTGGTTCGTTTGATTTTCAGTTTTCCATTGCTATAAAGATGTACCTGCTCGTGCCCATTTTGATATGTCTAAGAACGCTCTCCCAAGGAGTTTAATATTCACAATGCTCAATATAACACACAAATTAAGATTAATAGTTATAACTTTTAGCAAAACAAAACCCTAAATTGGTTGGCGTACTTCTTCTATATTGCTAGGCTTGGGCGTTCGGATATTTGGGTCTAGTTTGGGTCGGATTTTTCGAGTTCGGGTTTTTTGGGTTTAGAAAACTAAGACCCGTTCGGGTATTTTAAAACTTTGGATCGGGTCGGATTCGGGTCGGGTATTTCGGGTTCGGATTCGGGTTTACATGAAGTTTTCAAATATTAAAAAATTTGTATCCGATTCTATACGAAGTATTGAAAAATACTCAAAAAATCTATAACCCAAGTATTTTTTACCTGAATCTAGCCAAAAGTAGCTAAACACCCAAAAATATCTGAATATCCGAATAATTTAGGCGCTTAGATTATTACAAGTATAAATATTACTATTATATTATAACTATGTACTTATATTTCGGATATGTTCGGGTACTTGTTCGGGTTCGGATTCGGGTTTTCGGGTTGTGAAGTTTAGAACCCGTTCGGGTATTTTAAACCTTCGGATTCGGGTTCGGTTTGGTTCTTCGGGTTCGGGTATTATGTCCAGGCCTATATATTGCATTGCACAATAGAAGATCTTCCTCGCGGCTTCATTTCTTTTTCAATATCTTCCGTAGTTTCAATTACACATTGGATGACGATTCTCAAAGAGATCGGTAGTTCGTGATGGCACCAAGATCCCACCTAAGGTTTTCCCATGCATGTGCTCGTTAAAACTCGACATCATTATAAGACTATATATTATAAAGTTTAGTTTTCAAAGTTAGTCTCTCAGACCATGATTAACGGCAGTTGCTTAATGTTTTCTTAAGTAAATCTTAGCTATTAAATGATTATAATTAAATCTCAAACAAGCTTTAATGTTAAGATCGTTTCTTAGGTAAGACACAAAAAAATAGTTAAGAACCATCGCGTGTCTGTGTTTCAAAGCAAATTTAATTTATTTTCTCCCTTCTCTCTCTCTTCTTTATCTCTTTCTCTCTTCTCTCTCTTTGTTTCGCGATTTCAAAGATGAAATGGAAACTGAAGTCGATTTCAAGCAAATCGGAGGAACAGCCGACGTTATTTACCTCCGGCGATCGTTCCTGCTACAGATTATCATCCCCACCGACGCTGGTTGTCGAGGGCGTCAATAGCTCACCAAATTGGCGAATCGTGGCTTACGAAATCGGGGATAAATTCAACAGATCTTCGAGTTTCGATTCGAAATCGGTGACAATCGGTTTGTAAAGGTAGGAATGTCTCTCTGATTGTGTGAATTGATGTGATTTTCTGTTTTTAAAATTAGGGTTCCTCGAATTTGAGAAATTAGGGTTCGTCGAATTGGGGAAAAAGGGTAATTCGTTTTCTTTGTATAAAAAGAATTTTGTAAATCAGACTTGAAATCGTGATTCAGAATAAGCCATGATCATGCATTTTGGAATCTAGTTTGTAGATTGCAGTTAGAATTTTGTAACCATGCCTTCAAATTGTGCAATGTCATGGTTACAAAGTAATGCTGATAAACTTTAGTATAATGGTTATTTGATGAATTGTTAGACGTGCCGAGCTGGGAACTATATAAACTTTGATGTTATGGGAAATTATCTCGACTAGTTGACTGAATAGGACTTTCTCATGTCTTATGAATCTAAATGTTGGAAAACTCGAAAGTCCAATATAATGGGAAAGCATCTTGATCTTTTGTTGGTAAATTCTTGTGGTTTAGACTGATTTGCTTGGTGATGGACTATGAACCGTGTATTATGTGCACACTGCTTTTTGGATGAAGGGTTGTTTTTTTTTTGCTGTTTTGTTTGGTGAAGTTTTAAATGAAATGTTTTGCTTTTCAGTTATCTTATCCAGGATCATGTATCTGGTAGCACCATCTACACGGTCATCGCACTCTCGGCCCAGACTATCAATACGTTTAACATCTAGGACACGGAAAATGGCGAAAGCATACAATGGACAAGATGTTAATGGCACTGCTTGATTTCTCTGCATTTTTGACATGGCACTGCTTGATTTTTCTGCATTCTTGTTTTATTATTGATGTTATCTTTCTCTGTCCAAGGAACTGGCTTGTGAGATTGAGTGCAGCCGCGGTGAGGATTATCGGTTAAACAAACTCACTATTATAGACTACAATGTATGAATTTCTCACTTACTTTGGTAACTTTTAACACTTAATTTCCAAACCCATGATATTGAATGTGTGTATGGATGCTTAGCAATAGGTCATTGTATGAATGCTTGTATGTGTTTGGTTGTATAAATGCTTGTAATGGAAGATATTGTTTTGCCAAAATTTGAATTTTTTTTCTTAAGAACCCATTGGTTTTTAACCATTGGAGGACATTTTTGTTAAGGTACTCTGTAACTTTTCTTAGCTTTCAAAAAGCAACATTTTAATTTTAAATAATGCTAAGAGCCAAAGTTAAGAACCAACCAATAATGTTGCTCTCATATGATCGTAACATACTAACATGTGTCAAATTTATCGATCAGATTTTAACACGTGTAAAAAGAAAAATTGTATGAAAAAAATAAAATTATACAAATCCTAAAATTAAAAGGATTACAATTAATTTTTTTTATTATATAAAAATAAAATAATATATATAAATTACATATGACATATAAATCTTTGATAATTTAACGTATGTAACGTTCATGTTAATTATTAACTTTGAAATATCACATTATAAAATAAGATGTATTACTTTAAATATTTTTTTATGTATAATTTCCTTTAAATATTTTTTTTCAAAAAATACTAATTTTATTTCTTTATAAAATTTACCCTTTTAATAAGTCTCTTCTTTTTTATAAATTCTATTGTTTAAATTGTAGTATATCCTTTTTAATTATATATATATATATATATTAATTACTAACTTTGAAACATCAAACTAGGGTTTTCAAAATGGTTAATCCAACCCA